CCTTGGCCTTGTATTTGATGAAAATTAGATCATGGCGAAATTCAGTACCGTAATTGGTTTAATTAGTAAGATTGATTGGTTTGTTATTCATTTGGAATTTTTAAAAAAATGTTTATTGTCTCTTAAATTGTTTTAAAATTTTTAAAATCAAGATTATCTAGCTATCTATGTACCAAAATTTTGTTAGTTTTTTTTTTCTTTTAATGAAATTTTATGTCAATTAATGACTACACATGAAAACAGGTCAACATTGAGTGGCCTTAGAATTTTTTTTTTTTGTGCAAAGAGGGATTTCATAGATTAAACATAAAGATACGAAATCTTTGAGAGTTGAATTTATTAATAAATAAATATTATTTTGTAAGTCAAGTTTAAAAAAATTAATTTTTTAAATGTATTAGGTTAGTATGAGGATATATTTTAAGATCATTTTAAGAAAAATTAATTTTAATTTTACAAAAATTAACATAAAAATACCTTAATTATAAAAAAAAATAAAATAAAATAACGATACAAAAGCATTCCCGAGCAAGTTGGGTAAGGTTACAATAGCGTCTCCACCAAGAAGCAAATGGACATCAAGAGTAGAGTTCCCACTGAATAGGGGTGAGCATTCGGGTGGGTAACCGAAAGGTTATTTGAAAACTTAATCGAAAAAATGAATTTGATTCGATATTAATGATTTTTGAGTTTTATTATTTTGTTTTTGATATTAACTAAATAAATTTTGATTTGGTTTTGGCTGAATCTTTTACAAATCGAAAACAAGAAATGAACCTCTTGAAAATCTAAATTTGGATAAATATAACAAAATGTGATAAAATATAAGATAAAATATAATCTATTATTGAAAATAATTTATTAATATTTATTTAATAAAAATTGAAACCAAATTGATTTTATTGGTAACCAAATCAATTTGATTTGTGAAAACTTCAATTCGATTTCAATTCCCAAAATTGAAAAAAAAAAGTTTTTGGTTATTTTAAAACCAGTTTCTATTTCAACCGAAACCGACTTCTGCTCATCCCTACCACTAAAGGCGTTCTTCCTAAGAAAGAACAAACAGAACAACAAGTTGCTGGCTAGAATAGGTGATGATCCTAGAACAGGTGATTGCCTAAGAAAATTTCATGGTATATAAAATCAACCTCAAGCCCCTTATTGCTTTAACTTGTTCCTCATCGTTAAGTAAATCGATAAGATCCTTTTTAATCTTTGATCATCACTCATAGGCGCTGGTTCGAAATATAGTCATAAAAACACTGGAAATTAAAGTTTGATAGATAATAAATCATTTTGATACTTTTTCTTTTCTTTTCACATTTCTAGATGAATTAAAGCATAAATTAATGACCAAAGTTATAATAACGACATTAATAGTCAATGTGTTAAAACATTAAATTTAGTATTATACAAACATCCAAAAACCTTTCTCAGTTTAAAATGGTGGAGGATGGAGTAGGATAACAGTACTGATGTTTGCTTTTATGTTTAGTAGGAGAGGATGGACCAAAATGATGAGTGGATGTCAGGCAGTTTTTGCTAAAGTAAACATTATTTAAACACCAATTAAAGCTAAAGTTTGTTGTTCATTATTTTATTGTTATTTTGGAGGTAAAAGCACAGTACCCTTGAATGAAAAAACAGAGGAAAATTAATCTAACTTGTCAATGCATTCTCTCCCTTCTATTATTAATTTCTTATGACTATGTGGGATTCTGGGGGGAATTACAAAGAACTGATAAAAGGGAAGGAAAGTTGATTGCAGAATTTAATATTCATGTTTTTGTTCATAATTTGAAGCGGCGGACAAGCTTTCTTCAGCAATTAACTATTAACTAGGTATTAGAGTGAACCATGCACCATCCTGTCTGGGTGGTGTAGTTGGTTATCACGCTAGTCTCACACACTAGAGGTCCCCGGTTCGAACCCGGGCTCAGACAACTGAACTCTTTTTTGCTCATACTTAAATGCGGATGTTCAAAACGGCAGCATATTGAGGCATCGGGAGCTTTCTCCAACAGCTCCTGTTTATACTGCTTAACAAGTTCGTGTGCCAGAACCATCGTAGCCAAGCTCTGATGGCGGAGAAATCGCAATCAGTTCGCGTGCAATTTACCGGCGGAGTACTGAAAATTCGATCCCGATTTCGGAAAATGCAAGCTCCGGTTGATCCAGAACGCATGCAACGGCTTCCTGAATCTCGTCAAAGGTACCGGAATATCACCTCATCAACTTTAATGCCTTTTTTTTTTTTTTTTATTAATTATTGGAAGCAGTTCTTCATTTTTAATGTCCTTTTCTTATTGTTTCTTAAGTGCAGAGTCAAATGCCTAAGCAGCTGATAAAGTCGCCTACCAGTTACAGTCCACCGGTATCTCTTCCGGCTGTGCGGATGCTGCTGCTGCAGGTCAGAACTTCGATAAATTTAGTTAGGAACGTTATTGAAAACAATCTATGGATTAAAAATTTAGTTTATGGTGTTTCTTGCTGATTCAAGCTTAGTTTTGATTTGATCATGTATTCTGTCATTTTAATTAGCATCACATTGTAGGATCTGCGAAGAAAATGATTCAAAAGTAGTAAAATTATGCGTCCATCTGTGAAGAGAAATAGATATTGTCAAAGACTGGCAAGTGAAGAGGAGGATCCTCCTAAATAGGTTGTTGTGGAGCAAGGAGCTGAGTTATGTCCCTTGGAAAAGTTTTATTGGCATGATCTGTGGAATTAGGAGCACTCAAACTATTTAGTGTTATATGATAGTCATTTGCGAGGAGCAAATTGATGTTCAGGGAGACACTGCATATGAAATTTTGGAATTTGGAGTTTATCACACAGACCTGGCCTGGTGTAACCGACCCCTTTATTTAATCTTCTTCTTGAAACTTTAAACCCTGGGAGCAGTCTCTGCCTTTTCTCCAAGACCTCTAGCAGTGGCTGGCACATTTTAATCCAGTCTAGAGCAAATGAGAAAACTAACACATCTACATTCCTTCTTTTTTTCATTCTAAATTGATGATTGAAACTTTTGTTTGACAACTTTGTATGTCTAAATACGTTGTTCTTCATGCTGATAGCAACAGGTTGCAACTCCATTTTCTGCATGAAATGTTGAGATGATTCTTTTCTATATTTAATGAGTGAAACTTGTATTTGACGTGTTTATATGTCTAAATAAGTTCTTCACACTGATGGCAATAGGTTGCAACTCCACCTTATGGTTCTTTTCTATTATTGATGAGTAAAACTTCTATTTGACACCTTTGGTATGTCTAAGTTCGTTCTTCACACCGATGGCAACAGGATGCAACCCCATGTTCTGCATGAAAGGTTGAGATGATTTTTTTCTATTATTCTCTCTTAACACTTGTGATTCAGGTGTAATCCTCATTATTCTTTTGGGCTTGAGCACCCATTACATTTTCTGGTTATGCTTGTATACATCTTTTAGAGTGTTTTAGTTTCTTTAAAAGATTTATTGATTTTGTTTTTCATAATCATCAGAAATCACGTTGCCTTAGCTATCTTTTTCTAATCTTAAGATTTCTCTGTTTCATAGGTGCCAGAAACTGGAATTTTCTTCAGTGAGGATGGGAAAAATATCCCAGCTGCTTGACTTTGAAATCTCATGGAACACAATGTATGGAGTGCAGCCATCTCTTTCTTCTTGTCAGGGCACCCTCTAGATCTACAATCCTGTCAAAGTTATAGCCACCACATGAGGAAACTTAACAACAGCCAGTAAGACACTTCCTTCCTTTCAGCCACCTGCTACTCTATTTTGAAAATAGTATAGCCTTTTGAAAAGGTTGAAATGTGTATTTCAATTAATGGATTTCATTTGTATATCCTTGCAATATCATGCTTTACTTCAATTCATGTTGTAACATCACCTGGTTTACTTCAAAGTTGCTGGTTTACATTTGTCTTTTTATAGTTTATCTTTCTTCCCTAGCTGCTATGCTATCTGTGATCTATTCACTATAACCTGCATATGTAAGATTTTTTTCTCTTTTGCAGCAAAAAGAAAAAGGGTTCCATTTGTACTTGCTACTCCTTTGTTCTTCTAGTTAGATTGGCCTCTTAAAAATTAAATTTAAAGTTTTGAGAAGGCTTTAGAGAACTGCCTCATCACCTATAGTATTTTTTTTGGTACTAATTCAGTACATGTGAAAACCTATCAGCAGTCTTTGTGGATATTGCTAATCTTACATGTCAATTTATAAGAATTTGGACATTAGTTTGATCATTTATGGTATAAAAATGTATAGGTGCCTCTGAGGAATTGGAGTTGTATAGATGTTATGTGGCTGGTGGCAATGCAGTGATGTGTTTGTATGGAGATGGTGGTTTGCTAATGCTCTTGGTGATGGTCATTTTGGAACTGCAAAAATGATCTGTGTGGAGAATGAAGATGAATGATGTTTTGGATGGCTTAAAATGACTTAAAATGCCTATGCAATGGTGTGAGAGATTGCTTTCTGATTGATGAATAACCTTAAGAGAAGTGCTTCAAGAAAGCACACTCAAACTAAAAATGATTACCTAGCTTTAAGAAGCTGTATGACATTAATAGTGGGACTGGAACAGAAATTAGACGGAACTCTATTTTAGGGGTCTTAGTTTGTTCTTTATCTATTGGAACCTTTATTGAGAATTCCATTCAAGTTCTAGGTAGTATTTTTATTCCTGTCTAATCTTTCCATGAAGTAAAACTTCTGAATACTAAACTGATCTAATATTTCAATGAACACACTCAAACTCATGTTTTGAAGACTTTTGAGTCAATGAATCTAATCAAAAAGCTTATTTGGACCAGCCTTTTTGCAGGCTTTGTTGGTATTGCCTTCCATTATCATCTCTTAACAGCTTGTTTAGACCACCCAACATTTTTGTTTCAAATTGTTAGTCTATTCATTAGTGTGAATGCATCCTTTATTATTTTGGTTTTTCCTCTTGAAATTTGAATTAGCTTAAGCATATTTGTGATGACCTGTCTAAATCATTTTAAGCTCATTTATTAAGTGCTTCATAATGTGCCACACAGATTACGTCATTCCAAGTTTAATTTTTGTCTCCATCATATAATCACATTTCTTTATTTCTTTTCATTTCACCTGTAGTGACTCTTCATCATACCAAGGATCTTCTGGAAAATGATGTGAGTGTGATTTTTCATTTGTGCAATGTCAAGTATTAGAGATTTTCAATCATTTTTAATCCAAGAAGAGCTAAGATGCTTCCACCTTTGTCCTCTTGGCTAAAACCATAGAAATTGCATCTAGTTTTTCTATGCTTGTCATGACATAAAGCTTCCACTTCTTGGGTATTTCCTTTTTACAGGTGTCCCTTTCTTCAAAACACCACAATCTTCTTGGGAAAGTTGATCATATGCAGCCTGCTTCTTTTGAAGATTGCACTTCAGTTTCTGCCTAAATCCAGGTTAGCAGAATCTAATAATTAATTGCTGGGTCATATCCTAACAAATCCCAGCGGATCAGGTTATATTTGTTTTGTTTGTGTGATGCCCAAATGACATCTTTGTCGGAGGTTGTATTCTGTATCACTCACAGACAACCACAAAAAGCATGGGATGGAGCTTCGAGAAGCCATTGATGCTGCAGATTAATGCTACATACACATACATGCATAATATATTTATATTCTTCAAAAATAATACTATCCTAAGTATTAGATTTTTTTCAAAGTACATATCGGTTCATTTAGTGGTAAGCTTATCATTAATTAGGAAAAGGACCAACTGATGGTCCTGCTGTTGATAGAAATCTCTGTTTTTGTCCTTTTGGAAGAGACGTATCATGCATTATGTTGTTTATTTGTATTACTAGGCTACAGCCCCACCTCCAGAAATAGGGAAATGTCAGTGTCTGCCATGGAAGTTGGTGTCATGTATGCATGAAGTCTTAAGTTGGTAGATGATGCAAACTCCATGGCGCACATGGCGTTCCTACGCCAGCTGGAGGTTGAAGGAAACTTGAATAATAGTTTAGAGAAAATGATAGCTGTCTGGCTGATCTGGCTTTAAGCTTTTAAGTTTTAACCCTTCCCAAGTGAAAAAACAACTCTTTAAGAGACTTGAGGAAAATAAATCTACATGGGATTTAAAACATGATAAATTGATAATGATGTTTTTCAGCCTAGACAGCACAAAAAAGGTGCCGTCTAGGTTATGAAAATACCAAATCACTCATAATGAATCTTAATCAGTAAGGGTATTTAAATACTTTCATAGTCTAGAACTTCTATTCTTTTTTTTTTTCTTTTTTCTTCTTTTTTTCTGATTTTATATTGAGGTATTTCTGTAATCTATTCTTTCTTTGCTTATTTTTTTAATTTCTATTATTCATATGTATATAGACTAGATTGAGAAGATTAGTAACATTCAATTTCATTATTCATATGTAACTTGTTATTAGCAAGGTTTTTAAGTTGCTTGATTGGTGATTGCATATGTAATCTCTAACCATGTCTTTATTGCTGCCAACATGGAAGAGTATCAAATCATGTCTTTATTGCTTAAAACATTGGCAAATGAATTGGATATAGATTGCATATGAAATTATGAATTCAAACCATGTCTTTATTTTCTATTATTCATGTATATAGAATGTGAATTCATATGCCATGTCTACTGAATAACATTGCTAATATGAATTCAAACCTTGTCTTTAATTGTTAGTGCAGTCAGTCCGTGTTGGCAGTAATGAAGATATGGTTTGATACTCTTCTTTGACTTACTGTATTCATTTGTAATTCCTCCAAGATCTATGATAAAACATTGCTAATAACAAATTACATATGAATAGTGGCATTGGATGTTATTCCAATTCAGATGCAATCACCCATAAAACATTTGTCTTTATTGGATGATTAGCATTTGAATTCAAAACATGTCTTTGTTTTCTATTATTCATATTAGCAATGCTATTTAGTAGATGGTTGACATTAAAGAAAATCAACCTATCAAGCAACTTAAAAACATTGCTAAAACACAATACAAATGAATAATGAAATTGGAAGTTTCTGATCTTTTCAATCTAATCTATATACAAATTACATAATGAATAAAAGAAAATAAAAAAATCAAGCAAAGAAAGAATATCATTTGAATAGGAACTAATTATTCTGTACTGTATCAAAACTGGTAAAACATATATCCATTTTTAGTGAGTAGTTCAAACCTATTTACCACTAATATACCACTAATATTATCTATAAAACTCATGCAAAATGTATTACTTTGATGATATGACTCACCTTTACTATGCCGAAGCATTGCAGTTACTGCACGGTTTTTTTTCTTTCATGTCTTTCTCATCCCTACTAGGCCGAAGTAAATCTTTACATCTTGAACCAAGATTCACTGAAGGCTGTAAGAATAGAATAAGGAGCAAAGTTCTTAGACATGGAACACAAAATCCCATTCGACACAATATTTGCTAGAGAACAGAAAAGAGTACTTGTGCACCAGGAATTAAAGATTTGTGATGACTAGGTTCAGCCTAGAGTAAGGGGACCCAGTCTTTTAGCACTAACCCATCCATTAACCTTGATGTATTGAGTAATCCAAAATCTATTGGTCACATATCTTCAAGAGATAATAATATTGGAATGTAGATGTCTTTGCTTCAATGATCATAGATCTCATACTGTGCAAACATCAACTTTAAAACCAACTGACAATAGGTAGAGTTGTTCACATTGTATGCAAGTTCATACATTTCCTTTAATTCATCAATATGGGATTTCCTCACTTAACCCAAGGGTTTAAGTGTCATAGGAGAACAGGAGAAGTAATACATGTATCCTTAATGGTAGGATATTGTTTTAACTAAATCCAAAATTGAGTCTTGCTCTTTTGCAAGGGTTTATGCAACATAGGAGTACTATTTCTTGTTTTATGGTTGAGGGCATTGCTGCTCGGAACCACAGTGACTCTGAAAACAGGAGTAGATGAGGTCTCATAGAAATTTGGCAGTTTATGCTACGAGGAATAAAACATCAATCAGATCACAGACGAGGAGCTCGATCACGTTGTTTGAATGAGTGAATTCATTCCTATTCTAGGACGTATCTTCCACAATTGTTCCAAAAACCATGGGTAAAGACACACCTATGGTACAAATATTTCCAGGGCACAATATAAGTGGGGTCGTTTTGTCAAGCTTTTAGATTACCTTGGGTGCCCCCACTAAGTACGTTCCAGCTAGGGGCTGCGGGTCATTTGCAGCAACCCTTCAAACCCAATTCCCACCTCAGCCTTCCATCCAGTCATCCTTGATAGTCAATTTGCTGACAGCTTGTGAGAGTGAGAAAGTAGAGTTTTTATATTTATGATAACCTAAGGTTAAATTTTAACATTAATTAGCATAAGAACTGAATTAAAACACTGAAATTTTACAAGGGTACCATCATCTCTTGTTAGCATGGTAGAAACTAATAAACCTGGTGTCTGATAAATTAGCCCAGCTTACTCCATGTCAGATCAAATAACGTTTTCTTAAAAGCACTTTCGATTTTTTTTTTTTACAAGCTAATTCCAGTTTGCGAAGGATTATTACATACTACTTAGCCGCGCAACATATCTATTAAAAGAGCTTTTTCATGTCATTCTTGGGTAATGAAACATTTTTCAATTTTTTAAGAACCTCGATCTCATATGTGATAATCACTCATTTTTTTTTATTTCATTATATAGAGGTTTTAGGAGAACTCTACCCAGTGGCGGAGCCAGAGGCTGCTCGTCCTCTTGAAATTTGAAAATCTTGTAAATTAGTATATGAAAAATTATTTAACCTCTCTTAAATTTTGAAAATTTTAGTTTTTTGCCTTCCCTAAAAAAATTTTAGTTTTCTGCCTCCGCCCCTGACTCTACCCATATAAAATTTCTAAAAAGTGTTCGAAATTTTCACGAATATAGTGGAGAGAAGACCTTAGTTATCGTGCCAAGTAATCGTTAATAAGAAAATTTATCCATCAACATGGTAGCTTTGTAGGTGACTAAGATCTATTGCTTCAATTTTCAACTATTAAAGATAAAGGCTTGATGAAGCTGTGCAATGGTCCATATGCTGTCGACCCTTTTCAATAACGAAAGATGACAGCAGAGCCTGAGCTGAGAGGGATGAAAAAGAGAAGGAGAAACTAATAGAAGACAAAAACACTAATTTCACAAGCCTCTCTCAATGGAGGACATGTCTCCCCTTCAGTTCAAACAAATCACCTTCACGTCTCCTTCTTGATGGGTGAGTGGGTGACCTACTTTCTATTGATGTTATTGAGCAATATTATATATTATGCTAATTTTATCATCCCTTTTTAGCTCCTAGTTTAGCCCCAAAAATTATAATTTTGCAGTGTGATTTAGACACAGGATGATGATGTAAAGATTTTAGGCAGGTGCTTAAATTGATTTTTATTAGAATCTGTAAATTTTTTGCATGCACGTGTTTGGAGATGGGTATGATTGCAGTTCATGAGCAATCAAAGTGACGTAGATTTTGGCGGTGGGGAGGAGTGATAAAACTGTTTTAGGACCACGTGATCTTGTGGGTTGGCTTAGATCCCCATAAAGATTTTCAGTATCTCCACACAGTCCCTCCCATGAGGTCCCTACCCATGTTTTTCTGCTCGGCTCTTTTAACCCCTCTCTAATTCTCATTCTTGTTCATCATGTAGATGCATAAAAGCGTGTCTTTCTCTTTCTTAACGCCCCTTTTCTCAGCAGTTTTCATCATGAAAGAAGCATGACATTTGAAAACCCGGGAGGCATATTAGTTGATTCTGCAACGCATCTATGATCTGCAAAATTTTGACAAAAATGCACAAACCGAATCAGATAGATCTTTGCTTTTCATAATCTAAAGATTCATTGTATTTCAAGTTTTCATGCGTTATTTATCTACGTTCTTTTGAAAAGTTGAATTTTTTCCAGGGCTAGTTATTCTTCTGGATGCTGCATGTTCTGTATGATATTTCTTATGTGTTGGTTATGTATATGTTCATCAAGTAATTAATTAATATGGCATGTCCCACCCTTTTTCTTCCCTTGTCTATGTCTCTTGTTAGGCATAAGACCTAACTATCACTGTTTCTGCATGTGGGGAAGGCTTGCTTAATGCTTAGTTGTTTTCATGAAGTTTCTTGATGTCATGGTCATGTACTCATGCACACATAGACAGATATAAAGACAAAATCAAGGGGACAGGCTATGCTTTATTTGTTTGTCATTTTAGATGTTTTAGCATGCTGCACCTCATCAGTTTTGGAGATTACAAATCATAATGACATAGAGTTGTTGGAATTTTGGATTTAATAATATTGAACCGTGGGGTATACTTACTTATGAAAAATGATACATAATTTTATCTCATAATAAAATTTTATAATTTTACATAATAATAGTTATAATTGGTGCATATTTTTTAACAAAACATGTAAATTGACTTGTATTTATTTATTTAATATTTCATAACAATCCTAAAAGACTTGTAATAATAAGAAAAAATTATATATATGCCTAATTCTATATATGAACATATCTTATAGGCCCTTATACCTATAAGATCTTTGGGTCAAAGATTGTCCTCTGAATGAGTACTTATTTGTCAGTCTAATGCACAATAATGACCAATTCTAGGCCTTAAACAAATCTTCAGCCAAATCTTTGCTTCGCCAAATCATTTTCCCAAGCAATGTACTCCATATTATTTTATAAAAATGGAAAACTCCAAAAATTTTCCTGTAATGAATGCCTTCCCATATCCCATAGACACTTTCCTGTGTGCATTGTATGAATTCTCTAACCACTTCAAAACATGCAGTTTTCTTTACATTTTTCTATAGCATCTTAGTAGTTTAGGGTTTGATTTCGTTAGGATCCAATTTTTAAACCGAGCCATATTCAACACTTTTTTTTAATTTCCACGTCGTTAATTTGCTTTCTGTAGTTGCTATTTCTAGTGGCTTTCTTTTCATAAGTGTAAAAAGGGTGAATTTTAGACAAGAGTTACGTGAATTACAAAAAGTAAATTTGGGACATCATAATTAAGTGAAAGTAAATTTGGTCCCAATGTCGCTTTTTATTGTACCATTTACATGCCCCCATAGGTACAACAGGCCAAATCTTGAAGATCTCCCCTCAATCCCACAGAAGCATCTTCGAATCTGAAACCGGGAAAAAAACACACGCGTTGATGCCTTGTTTCATAGAAAATTCCTCGAAGAAAATCTCAGAAGATCGTTTCGATGGCTACCTAATTTTGGCCATTTCGCATCCAAAGGTTATAATGTGTGGTTCTTTTTTTTTTTCTCATAATTTTTATATATCATTAAATAAATTAATATATAATATTATAAAATATAAATTATTAAATAATATATAAAATTATATTAAAAAAATTATCAACCAATGGTCTTCTCATCCAGAACTCGAGAGAAGGAAATTAGGATGTTATCTTTTTTGAACAAAAGAAAAATTACATATCGGTACAACTCCAGATGACCAAACTTGACCACTCGTGACCGTAGATCATGATCTGACGTTGGACTTCATCGGATTTGGTCTCGTGATGTCCCACATAAATACAGAGAATCTTTAAAGGTTAAGAACACAAAAGCGACGTCGCTGCCTCAAAACGATACTTCCTTCCAATTTCCATCCTCTTTCATGCACCTTTTGTTTATATATAGAGCTTTCTCTTCTACTTCCATTAACACCTCCTCTTTTAGCTTTTCTCTTCATAAACATGGCGGTGAGCTTTAAAAACCCAGTGTGTTTCACGGTGATTGTCATCATCATAAGCCGTTTGATACCAACCATAGGCATCTCGAGGCCATGGAACATTTTACTCCCAGCAAAGCTCCTCACCCTGGATCTCGCCGAAAGACTTTCCACTGATCCAGACGCTCTTGACTCAGCCTCCCATGACTTTGGTCACATTGTTAAGAGAACCCCCACCGCAGTTCTGTACCCTTCCTCCGCCGAAGATATAACCGCCCTCGTTAAATTCGCCAACTACCACTCCACTCCCTTCAGCATAGCCGCCAAAGGCTGTGGCCACTCTACTCGAGGCCAGGCCACGGTAAAAAACGGGGTGGTCGTGGATATGACGTCACTGAAGACCGGAGTAATAGTGTCTGGCGACCCTTTGTCAGGTTTTGTAGCTGATGTTGGCGGCGAGCAGCTTTGGATCGACGTGCTGAAAGCTACATTGGAGCGTGGACTTGCACCGGTATCTTGGACTGATTACTTGTACCTAACTGTTGGTGGGACACTGTCCAACGCCGGAATTAGTGGTCAGACCTTCCGGTATGGTCCTCAGATCAACAACGTCTATGAAATGGACGTTATAACTGGTATAATCTCTTGCCTTTTTTTTTAGTTAAATTGATATTTATTAATAAAAAAATTTTAATTCGAAATCAAATTAAAATTTAAAATTTTTGTTATAGTAAGTAATTAATTATTTAATATGAAAAATGAATCTCTTTCTTCCTTTCTACCCACAGTAATTTTTCTGTGGGCGAATCCCTCCAAAAGAGACGACAATCCGGTCGCTGTTAATTATAAATATATTCGGGTAAATATTTATTGTTAAATGTAAAGTCTCTAGTAAAAAAAAAAAATTAACTATGTTCTTTCTCTGGGTCCCACTGTTAGTAATTCCCTGATAAAAGTTCATATTCATCCAAGATTAAAAAAAATTTCACTGATGGTACATTTTAAAAAGATTTAACAATTCACTTTGATAAATAATTTACAAAGTAATAATTCAATAAGTTCTTTTACTTGTTTGTGGTAAATTGGACTCGGGTTTTAACTTATATATCAAATTATAATATAATTTTATATTTTGAATTGTAAATACTTACATATAAGATATACGTGTTTTATTTTAATAAATCATTTTGCATGCACGCAGGAAAAGGTGATTTCTTGACATGTTCGCGGATGAAGAACGTAGAGTTATTTTACGCTGTTCTTGGAGGTTTAGGGCAATTTGGAATTATAACCAGAGCAAGAATTGCTCTTGAACCAGCACCAAAAAGGGTAAGTATATTGGAATAAAGTTATAATTCTTAACTTTAATCACAATTTTTTTCGCTGAAATTAAAATTTTAAAATATTCTTTCCTTTTGTGTAGGTTAAGTGGGTAAGAGTGCTTTATAGTGATTTCTCAGCTTTCACAAGAGATCAAGAACGTTTGATCTCGAACAACCAAGGAAAAGATAATCAAGCAGTCGATTATTTAGAAGGGTCACTTCTGATGGACCAAGGGTCGCCGGATAATTGGAGATCCAAATTTTTCCCACTGTCCGATCACTCGAAAATCATCTCCCTTATTACAACACACGGCATCATCTACTGTCTTGAAGTCGTGAAGCATTACGATGAACAAACCCTACACACCGTTAATGAGGAATTGGAATTGTTGTTAAATGGTTTAAGCTTCCTTCGAGGATTCATGTTCGAAAAAGATGTTTCGTACCTAGAATTTTTGAACAGAGTTCGAGGAGGAGAGTTGAACCTTAAGTCTCAGGGAAAATGGGAGGTTCCTCATCCATGGCTAAATCTCTTCATACCAAAATCTCATATAGAAGCTTTCAATCATGGTGCTTTTAGAAACATTGTCCTTAAACGAAACATTACCACCGGACCAGTTCTTCTCTATCCCATGAACCGAAACAAGTAAGCATTTATCTATATTTCTCATAAAAAAATTTTTTTTTTCCCAATCTTAACGGGTTAATTTTAATATCTGTTCAATTATAAAAAGACAAAAATACCTTTAATGGTTTTTTGCATGCCTAAAAATCATCAAGGTTATTTAAAGGTTTTCAATTTTCACGCCCGGACGGGTACTTTATATATATATATATATATATATATTTTTCGAATAAATTCGCAAAGGTTGAATTTAAATTATTGCCTGGAAGTGGGAAATGTACTTATGCGTGATTTAACGCTACTTAGTCGGAAGGCCAAAGTGCCGGATGGGTATTTTATATTAATTTTATATATTTTGGACATTTAATCATTTATTTATTTTCAAAAGAATGGTAATATTGTTTAATATTGGATATTGCAGGTGGGATGAAAGAATGTCTGCAGTAGTACCTGATGAAGAAGTATTTTACACAGTAGGGTTTTTGTATTCGAGTGGTTTTGATGATTGGGAAGCTTTTGAAGAACAGAACAAGGAGATTTTCCAGTTTTGTGAGGATAGTGGTGTTGAGGTTAAGCAGTATCTTCCTCATTATACTACCAAGGAAGATTGGATCAAGTATTTTGGTCCAAAATGGAAGACTTTTGTGGAGAGAAAAACTATGTTTGATCCAAAACGCATATTATCACCAGGACAGGGAATTTTTAACAATAATTAGAATTAGGAATAGGATTACTCCCTTGTCGTATGTGTAGGGTTTTTTTTTTTTTTTTTAATGTTGTATGTGTAGGTCACAGTAAAAAAATAAAATGTTGAAATAATTTGTATTTTTATTTTTTAATTCTTCTAAGTATTAAGTTTAAGATTTGAATATAGATTTAACCTAAAAATAATATTTATTTATTAATAAATCTAATATTTAAATTTAAAATTTAAATCTAAATTTAACCCAAAAGTAACATATATTTATTAATAGATCTAACATGTTATGATAACGTTTTATATATATATATATATAATAATAAATAAAAATTAAAGCAAACCTAGCTAGCAAAACTAGCAGCAAGGTTTTAGACGATTGAGAAGTTATACTAGTGTTTTAGGATGTCTGCAACCTTGGGGTGCAAGTTGCAGGAAACCAGGAAACATCAAAGATTTTGATCCCATCATCTTTTTTGACATCTAAACCCAAAGTTGCTTATGTGTTCTTTTTCTTTTTCTTAATATTTGTAAATTCCCTTTATTGGGATCCATCAGCACACGCTGCGTACCAAATCATTGACATTTTAAAGCAACAAACCAAAAACTTTTCACCATTAAAGTATGTCTTATTATTCTGAATTGAGTGTAACCCAACACTTTTTATATTAAGGAAAAATGATAAACACGCCATTTCTCTTTTAAAATATAGGTAAGTTTAATTGCACTGGCCCTTGAAACTTAGTGGCATAGCCACGGTGCATTCCTCTTTTTCGGCAGGGTTCAAAATCTACCCTTACAAAATATGTTCAAAAATATATATATATAGGTAAGTTTAATTACATTTTTATATGCATTTTTAAGTAATATTTTTTTTATTATATATAATTAATAACTACAAATTTTTGACTAAATGAAACTACTTCAACACAAGTTATATATGGTGAAGAGAAAATCTTAATTATTAATCATATATTATAAAAAATATTGCTTAAAAATATATGCAAAAAAATTCAATCGACTTATATTTTAAATGAAAAATTATTTCATGGTTCAAATTGTATAAAATTGCAAAATATAAACATTTAGATGAGGGATGATCCTTTAATATTGAGGGTCTTTCTTCTGAATTTCTGTTTTATAATGTAATACAATTTAAACTACAAAATAATAGACTACAAACTAAAACCCTAAAATGCAACCTATCCTACACATAAGGGCTCCTTGATATTAAAGGCACAACCATCAGCAGACTGCAATACAGCACTCTCCTCTTCACTAACATACAAAAACAAATAAATTTCCCAAATTCACCGTCTTAATCTTGAAATAAGGGTTTTCTGCTACTATTACTATTGGAGTAGTCCAGGGCCCAATAGGCCTTGAGGCACTGTTTGTTCTGTCACAGTTCAACGTTTTTATTGGGCCTAAACTCCAATAAATTAGTAGGCCCAACTTTTCATTCTCGGATAGCATTACATTACAGTGAGGTTGCAACGGCAAGAAAACTGGAAGAGTGACAGTGGTGCGGAGAGGATACTTTGTCCGGTAAATAGCCATGGCGTTTTCTCCGTCACCGCTCAATTATCAGACTAACCCATCATCGTCTTTGCATTCTGTGTGCTTTCTTTTCGTACCATCTCAATTCCATTCTCCCAGTAACAGTTTCAGAACTCTCAAATTCAAACCTTGTTTTGCTCATCAAGCAATCAAGCTTGGCACCCAGGAGCCTAGGCCTGTGGAGGCAGCTATTCAGGCTCCAAAGAGGAAGAGAAAGCCCAGGCCTAGCTTTCTTGATCATATTCAGGAGAAATGGTCAAGAAAACTCCCTTCAACTATAGAGAAATTTCCATGGCAAGAAGGAGGAGGAGAAGGAGGAGAAGTGAAAAAGGAGCAGTCTTTTGGGTTTATAGGATCAGAGAAACAAACTGATGAAAACCCACAAGTGGTAGAGAATGACCCAGTAAGTTTCCCTTTACCGAGTCCCGTAATTTCTGCTCCCTGGTCTCATGGAAGCAAACCCAATAAACCCTTTTTGAATTCTGTTCCTGAAATTTTGGACTTCGGCCCTAAAACAGGAGATAGTCAACTTAATGGTCTTGTTGGAGATTCAAACATTTTGGATGACGAACCAAGTAATGGTGTTTCTTCAAGTAAGAATTTTGGGGTATCTTTGGATGATAATGGCGGTTCAATTGAAAGAAATGGTAGGGAGAGGAAGAAGAGGAGTAATACTGAGATGGCAGAGAAGATGATACCGGAGCATGAGTTGCGGAGGCTAAGGAATGTTTCATTGAGGATGTTGGAGAGGACTAAGGTTGGAGTTGCAGGGATCACGCAGGCCTTGGTGGACCACATTCATGAGAAGTGGAAGTTTGATGAAGTGGTGAAGTTAAAGTTTGAAGAGCCTCTTTCCCTTAACATGAAAAGAACACATGAGATTTTGGAGGTCAGTGATGGTACTTTCATTGTTGGTTTATATAATTGCAAACATAGCTTTTTTCATTAATTCTGTAGCTCCTGATCATTTTGCTTATATAGTAATAGACTAATAGTTGCAGCGCTTAATTGAGTGTTTTATTGAAAGTATTGTTGAATGCAAATGCAACTATGATTTGGAAATTGGACTTGTGTAGAACTAGTGTTGTCTGCTACTGTATTAATTTGCACATATCATGATCAAAACTGCTACGGATTTTCTTTAAATGGTTGAAGCTGCTGTTGATCTTATTTCAATTTTCTTTTATTATGCATCAGAGAAGAACAGGAGGATTGATTATATGGAGATCAGGCAGCTCAGTGGTTTTGTATAGGGGAATGACCTACAATCTTAATTGTGTTCAATCATATGCTAAACAAAATCAGGTGAATGCTTTGCATCACTCCAATGATCTGACCAGTGATGCCACACATAATGGAGGGAACAACTCAGTTCAGTCTGTAGAATCATTCATGCCCAACTCTTTGGAGTATTTGAAGGGTTTATCTAAAGAGGAACTTATGGACTTGTGTGAACTCAACCACGTGTTAGATGAATTGGGCCCACGTTATACAGATTGGTTGGGACATGAGCCATTGCCAGTTGATGCAGACCTGCTTCCTGCTGTCATTCCTGGATATAAACCCCCATTTAGACTTCTTCCATATGGGATAAGACCTTGCTTAAGAGACAATGAGGTAACAAAATTCCGTAGGCTTGCACGGACATTACCTCCACATTTTGCCCTAGGTATGCAAATTTGTACATTAAAGATTTTTCTTTATATTCATTCTATCAAATTTCCTTCACAAATTTTTTGTTTTCTAATTCTTATAGGAAGAAACAGAGAACTGCAAGGACTGGCTAATGCTATGGTGAAGCTATGGGAAAGAAGTGCTATTGCAAAGATAGCCATCAAACGTGGTGTGCTAAATACACGTAATGAGCGAATGGCTGAAGAACTCAAGGTAATAGATTAGGAAAATTGCCATGTCTTGATCAAATATTGTTATTAGGTTTAGTCTTCCTATATGAATATGAAACCAGAGTTTCAAGTATTATAAAGCAAATATGTGCAGTCTGAATCTATCTTCTAATAATCCAGTTATCTTTTTTCCTTTTCCTACTAGACAGAAAAATTATGCTATAATATGGAGATCCCTTGGTATCTTAAGTCAATTATACCCTGATGCTATTAAGAGAATGAATTGTCTTGCTTATTACACAACTAGCACATTTAAAGGATGCTAGTGCAGCAACACTAAACCCCCTGTCTAAAGTGCTTCCAGTGTGAGTCAGACTGGTGTGAGTAACAATTAACAAATGTAGACATGAGTTATTTCCTAAACTTCACAGCATTAAAAACTATTAACTTTTTTGGGAAAGATATGGTAGATTTGAGCAATTAGCCATTGCTTTTGGATGAACTTCTATTATTGATTTATATACCACTCTTATAAACTAGATTCAAGCACATGCTATTTTTCTGTCTGTTGTATCCATCTTTCAGTGACTTTTGATCTATCTTCTGTAATCTAGTGTCTTCTTGGTTTCACTTTAGTTTCTTCTTTTGCATTGATGTTGCATTTCATTTATGCAGAAATTGACTGGAGGAACACTGCTTTCTAGGAACAAGGAATATATTGTCTTCTACAGGGGTAATGACTTTTTACCGCCTCTTGTAACAGAGACACTGAAAGAGAGGCAAACATTGACGAACCTCCAACAAGATGAGGAAGAGAAAGCAAGGCAAAGGGCCCTGACCTTGGTTAAGTCAAATTCTAAAGCTTCTAAATTTCCATTGGTTGCTGGCACTCTGACAGAAACAACCGCTGCAACTTCTCGCTGGGGAAACAACCCAAGCAGTGAAGATTTGGAAGAAATGATGAGAGATTTGGCTGTGGCACAACATGCTTCATCAATCAGATACCTTGAAAAGAAATTAGCTGCTGTAAGTTACAAATGAATTAATTAAGCAACCATGTAGAGATTCTGCAGCATTATGAAACCCCAGTTTGGTTCTTTCTGATTATGAGATATTTGTAACTTTTATTGTCCCAGGCAAAAGGGAAGTTAAGAAAGGCTGAGAAGGCTTTAGCAAAAGTGCAGGAGCATCTGGAACCAGCAGAGCTCCCAAGTGATTTGGAGACTTTAACTGATGAGGAAAGATTTTTATTTCGTAAAGTTGGTCTTAGTATGAAACCCTACTTGCTCTTGGGTAAGAATGGATACTTAAATTCTGCTTATCATTTCTGAATTGAATAGTCAAATTTAATGCGATTTTTCTGTATTAGGGAGGCGTGGAGTTTATGATGGTGTCATAGAGAACATGCACTTGCATTGGAAATATCGTGAATTAGTAAAGATAATTGTGAAGGGAAAGAATCTTTCCCAAGTCAAGCATATTGCAATTTCTTTGGAGGCTGAGAGTGGTGGAGTGCTAGTATCTTTAGATAAAACTACTAAGGGCTATGCAATTATTGTATATCGTGGGAAGAATTATGCACGTCCTTTAACAATTAGGCCCAAGAATTTATTGACAAGAAGGCAGGCGTTAGCTCGGTCCATCGAACTTCAAAGACGTGAGGTAAAATATAGAACATATATTCGATATGTAAATGTTTTTGTCAAAAAAAATTATACTTTTTGTGCTTCCATTTAATTCATTTTGTGTTTTTATAGGCATATTCATTTTGTGTTTTTATAGGCATTGAAGCATCATGCCTCGGACTTAGTGGAAAAGATTGAATTAATGAAGTCTGAACTGGTATGGTATTGTTTCTGCTTTCATTCAGATATATTTAATGTTGTGTTAATATGCAGGAGGTGACCTTGTGTAATAACATGTTTCGGCTTTTAATTCAGGAGGAAATCAAAGCTGGAAAGAATATTGATACAGAAAAATTTTCACTGCCAAGACTGGATGATGCTTATTTTTCTGATTTGGATGATGATGAGGTACATGATAATCAAAGCTTCTCTGAGTCCATAGGTAGAAGAAATAGCAACCATGTGTATTTTGTTAGTCTCTATTGTTTGTGATAACAAAGGTGTTTTCATTTGTACCAGGGTGAAGAGCAAGATGAATATCTTGAAACAAATGACAGTAATAATGAGGATGGTTTTGAGCAAAACGAGCTGATTCTAGAAAAAAGATGAGTTTTCTTGAGTTCAGAAGACCAGAAGCATGGTGCATCAGTATATTGGCCCTGCAAATTTTTAAGAATTTCAACTTGCGGGACCAGTGAACAAGAACAAACGCACAATGGTCATAGAGAGTTCAGTTTGCCTTCTGATGACATATTACACAATGCAAAGAAATGATGTCTTTCATGCTGGTAGCACGAGAAAATGGTTGACTTCGGAGGGCATTTTGAATGTTGTAACCTTATTCTGTAAATATACTGATCCAGGTGAATGCTAAAATTCATTATTATGGTGTTTTATAGCTGTTTTATTTCAATTTTTAATTGTTGATGGCCAAAAAGAAAAAGAAAAAGAAAAAAAAGAATATTGGTTCTTCAGAATTCATACCAACAATTTCTTTTACCCTGACTCAAATGATCCCCTTTCACCAGTGGGTAGCAATATGACATTGCCTTCCATTTTCAATTTGTTTCATTATTAAAAATCGGAATCAGATGTAGCCAAATTTCGTGGGATAACTTAAAATACCCAAATACTAGGCTCTCATCTTAACAATGCAACAACGACCGCTACAAGTTGATCACCACACTGAACAAAAGTTGTATTAGGGCTTCCATGCAGAATGTAAATCATGGTTCATACATCTATTACTTGTAAACATATATAAAACATTCAATTTCCCTGAAACCTGACCGAATTACTGAGAACTTCAGATCCTACTAGACATTATCTTGTAATGCTCCCCACGTGGTTTGAGATCCCATAACATCATGGTTGCATTCCAGGAGACACCTGTATTGCATTGATTCATTATCAGGAACAAGGCTATACGCTCGCTGAGAGTTTAGCAAATCTGTCATTTAACCAAAAAAGAAAAAAAATGCTAATAAGCAGAGAGCTACCTAATTTGCAGCACCCTTGTCTTCCTGTAGGGCTGTTTTTAGAAAATTTACAGCAACCAAGACTAATTCAGCTTGATGCTTTGTGTAACAATGATCTGCTCCCTCTACAATCTGTACTTTATGATTAGGTATGATCTTAGCAAACTCAAATGCATCTTCAACTGGGATTACTTGGTCAGCAGTTCCATGGATCGTCAAGACCCTGTACATACACAATACTAGTCAAATAAAGTACAATATCATCCCTTGATAATTTTGAAAAAACCAGGATCTGGATCATTAGAGATAACATAGCATGTTCGCATCCCTGACAGCATCAGCTAAGCATACTAACAATCTGATACACAAATAAAATGAAAGTAAATAGGTAGTAACCGAGACTTTGATGATAAAAATGGATAATCAACAAATAGCTGAAGAAAACGATAATTGAAGGATCTGTTTCCTCACCTGCTATGTAATCATCATAAAATTGATAGTTGAAGGATAGTTAATAACAAAGAAAATTACACTATGTTATGTAATCATCACAAAATTGGTGAAGGATCTGCTTCCTCACCTGCATTCTTTATCAATCTTTAGGCAAGCTTCATGCATATCTATACTAAGGCGATCCATCAAACTTTCCTTGGTTACACGATATTGAATAACTCCTACAAATACAAGATAATAAACCAAGTGGTGAAACTGTGTTGCTTGAAAATACATACAAGTCTGAAGCATTGATTAAACTTGTTTGTCAGCATACATGCATGCTTATTTTATTTTCTTCCACAATTCAAAACAAGAAAGATGATCAGTTCAGGTGATTAGGCTCTTTGAAGCAAAGGAAAAAAAAACCAGTTAGTAATGGTGTTGAGGGCTATCCAAAACACACACATGCTCACACAGGAACATATCTTAACCTGTCTTATTTTTGAAATCGAAATATCCATCCTTTTTAATGCTTTCCATGAAGTCTTTTCCCAAGCGTTCTTCAATTCCTCTCTTCAAATCATAGCGGCCAGAAACATTGACAACTGTGTTGACATCATGATACTTCGAAGCATATAGAAGCACCACATTGCCTCCTGCGTGTAGATTATTCCATAAGAAGAAAATTTGTAGAACAAAGCTGCTAAGAACTACCTATTCAGGTACTGAATCAAAGATTTTAGGACTTACATCCAATTTTCAATGTATATTTTAAACCTACTCTCTTTGGAATCCATGTACATAGGTACTTTGAATGATCCCACTCACCTTTGCTATGCCCAAGAATTGCAGTTATTATACGGTTTGCACCATTGAAGCGTTGGATTACATAATGCAAGTCATCAACTTCGCGCAAATAATTACCAAACTCAAATTGACCTTCACTTTCTCTGGAAAGATTAATGTTAAAAGGGAAACTAATACAAACAGACTCGGCAATTGCAGAACTCCAAAAACTGATATTAAAAACCTAACCATATAAGATAATAACCAAAAATACAAAGTAGAAACATCATAAAGTATTATGTTGCAAAGTAATGACTAATTATTTCTACAGTTAGGAATATTGACCAACTAAACCATCATTTTCTATCAATTTCATATCATCACATCAGCAAATATAATATGATGTCTAAGAAAAAAAAAAAAAAAAATCATCCTCAAATTCTTGTCTAAGAAATAAAATTTAAAAAAAAAAAAAGAAAAAAAAAAGACAAATTGAAAATATTCACTCGTTTGAATATGCAAGTAAATATTAGCTGAGCCGCTTACCCATTTCCAGCAAAGTCAAAACGGAAGGCACTGATTCCTTCATTTTCTAGAGCAGCTGCAACGTTCACCATAATTTCCTCATCCTACAACAGTGCAACGGTGACCTTTCTTTCCTCGGAAAATAAATATTAAAGAAACAGTGGAAAAACTAATTAAAGCTCCGAACTTTAGAATCAGCAACCTTGCTGTCTCTGAAACCATGGCACAAAACTACAATTTCTTTAGACCCAGTATCATGCAATAACCCCACAAGCTTTTCCCCATGTTTGTTTGGAATTATCACCTTCTGCGGCTGAACCACTGAGATAAAAAAGTTCCATAAAAAATCAGATTCAAGTTCATGGATTCTTAAAAAAGTATAGAAGAAACGTATGGAAATGAGTTGATGGATTTCTGACCTGGGTTTTCAACAGAAAGAATTTGAGCCATCCTAAGGGGTGTTCTTGTTCTCCTGGATGGGATGAAGCGTACCTGATAGAAAGGAAACTTGAGTGAAGTTGGGATTTTGGAAATGGAGGAATCTAAGAACAGTAGATGAAAATTATGAGCAAAAGTTCCCATTTTGCTTTACTTGATGCAAATTGCAGTGAACAGAAGCTCCTCCCCCTTTCCCTGGTTTCTGGAGAGATACAAGAAGGAAACTAAAATAAGGGGATTAAGAGGAGTAAAAGACAAGAATCAGTAGAGAAATGGAGAAATGGAGAGAGTGAGTAACATCAACTTTCTTGTTTCATTGCCTAAAACCAAAAAAGA